ATTCTAGCACATTGACCGTCCCGGTCCAGTGCCCGCACCAATACCGCTTCTGCTTCCTAGCAGAGGTAGGTTCATGTCTCACCAAAGCTCCATCAGGAGACGTGCACGTTGCGCCCAAGGTCCCCGACCTCCAGGTTCATGGTTTTCCAGCCATGCCAAACCAGAGATAAGATCATACCTTGAATTCATGACTAAGCAGCGTTCCACGCTTTCGAAGTCAAGAAAATTGACACCAAGGTCCACAGGGACCCTCGGCACAGTGACGCAATTTCCGTCGCTGAGCGAACATTGACGGTGTCAGTAAACCGCGCTTCTAGCGCCTCAAAATACAGCTGACTCCCTTCGATCGTAGAGTGTCGAGCACAATTGCCCGATGCCCTGGAATCTATAAGGCTTTTCTATGGCAATCAAAGCTCTTCACGGTCGCTTTTACGACCAACAAGCCCGGCTTACATACACGTACCTTGTTCAGGAGCAAGGAAGCCTTCGGGGCCCTGCTGCCCTCTACATCTTTGAGGCACAACAGAAATCAGTCTTTCTTAATAGGACACCTCGTGCCTACTTGGTTTTCTCGTTTCCCCGCGACAAACCAGACTGGCTAGAAGTGGGACGTCGGTTCAAAGAAACTCAACGCGGCTTACGCAGGGACAACCAGTCCAAAAGTGACGGGTGTCTCCACAGACAAAACACCGTCAGATGTTAACACGCTGCTCAGCAGAACGGAGCTCTCTCTCCTCTTTCTCAGCAAAGCTGAGATCAACTGGCTTAGGCCCGCTCGACGAGCTCTGAGGGTGTGCATATCAACCAAGTCGTGCCGACTTAAAGTTGCGTTTGGCATTCAATACCAGATTTGCCGCTTCAAAAGAAGACGGATGCACAAGGAAGACTTCCATTCTGGCCACGCTAGTCTGGAGGCCTTCCATAAAGACGGTCACTGCGACCGCCTCGAGGAGAGGATCGGCTGCCATCCTGACAATAAGAGTTCTTGACTATTGGACAAAGTCCACCAACTCCTTGTCCCTGTCGGGAAGCAAGGAAACGCGATCGCACGCGATATGCCTGATCAGGCGGCGAGAACGCTCGCAAAAGCGGACGCTTCATCTCCGTCCAGGAGGGGTACGCAGCTTCAACCGAATCACCTCACGTTTGTCGCGCTCGGCCTTCGCGCCTGGATAGCTAGCGCCACGCGCTTTTGCTCGTTCTGGGGCATGGAGGATGCCATAGCCTTTCTTACCGAGAGCAGGAGATTATCTCAAATCCTTACCCTCGAAGATCTTAACGCTCACCATGAGTGGCCTGATTCGGTTGGAGTCATCCGTCGTCAATGGTGGCGTCATGGACGCAGTCGACGCCATTATCTTTTGCTCTAGGTGCTCTAGCAGAGCATTTGCATTGCTCGAAATCGCCTTTAGGTCCGTGTTTATCGCTTTGGGCCCTTGCGAAACAGGGTGTCGCACGCCCTCAGGGCCCAGCAGGGACATCAGTTTAATTAGCCAGTCCTGCATGATCTGAGACAAATAGGAGTATTGCTCCATCCTCACAAAGGACCAGTCGTAATGACTAAGGCGTAGATTGACTACAAGTGCTACCAAATGCAGCGGGGCTACCGTAGCTCTTTGCATAGAGGAAGCTAAGCTAAGCTCACCGGCCTTACGTTCTTTACAAGAACCAGTTCGAGTGTAGCGGATCGCAATCCGCTACCTCCAAGTTCTAAAACCTTAACCAAGTATATGAACGCTTTTGTTGAAAATTGGAACTGTATTCAATTGTTTATGTTCCGACAGAGTTGCCAATATCTAAATCCTTAGGTTTTCCAGATTAATATAGTAATACCTTGTTAATATAGTAAAGTTTAATTAATATGCATTACTACTGGCGATCCTGCCTTCTTGTTACGGTGTGGCCACACCACTGTGTGTCTACACCAGAATGTGTAATCCACACTCACACCATCAGCCCTTTCTTCGAAGGGTACGTGTAACCCCGTTGTATTGGATGAAGTGTTTTATGCAAAACGTGTCACGTTTTGGTCAATTTTGATGTATGTCATCTTATGGAATATTTCCTGAGCAATTTATTTTTAAACACTCCAATCCCTTTTGATCTTTGAGCCTTTCTTGCCTTGGCCATGTTAAACATGCATTCTAACAACTGTACAGCGTTCATTGTATTTGCAATCCGAACCAGCATCAATTTGCGTTTTTTACTCTGTCGTTACACAAAATTATATTCATGGAGGTGTTCTTTCTGTGCACATTCGAGTAGACAGTAGCTTTTTTGTCAAATATTGAATGAACTTCATTTCCAAACCAGAAAGAGTAGGAAAGAACCACAATATTCTCACAATAAACAACTAACTCAATGAGGATATCATGCCATCCGATGCAAAATGGTACACAGTAAAACAAGAATGAAATTGCCGAGCTCATTGAGACGAATACGATAGGTAACACAGATTTTAAGAAAATTGATGTGGCGTTGTTTTACATTTGCCTTGTATTGCTAGTCATACGCAGGACTAACTTAACGAAGATTAAAACGAAACCAGCCGTGCGTCATGAGTAACCAGGAAGCACGACGACTTAATGTCGACCATCTCAATGGCAACGATATGCTGTGCGAAAATTCACCAGCGACTTGTAGCTCACAGAGGCTATCCATTCCGTTATTTTGTAATCATTAAGTTGTAATTATTGTTCAAAACCTTGGTTTCAGGTAGCAAAGGAGCATTTAAGACAACGCCATTGGGATTCATGCAGATTTCAGACAAAAAGAGACAAGTTTGACCTGGAACATATTATAAACATCGATCATTCCAATCAGGCTCGGCGTTTACTGACAGTTTCGTGTTTGACCACGGTGTGCCCGCGCCTACCTCTGACTGCAGCAATTGACCTGCACATCATTGCAAACGGCTAAAGGATTCTGCACCATCGATGCAACAACTGGAAGAAACCCGATATTTGCAAGTTTAGCTGTAGGCAGACGCGACTCGGATCTGCTCGCACCTAGTGTCAGTTTTTTCGATTTGCGAGAATTTGGCGCAAGAGACATCCGATCGGGCATTTCCCTAAGCGTAGCGGAATCTCTAGCCAGCTGCAACTGCATGTGCAGCAACCGATTCTCAGCCAAAAGTTGCTTGTTTGCTTTACGCGCAGCTGAGCGAGTCCAGTCCAATTTGTTGCGCACATCAATGCATTTTTCGTCCATTAAACGGAGTTGATCCTCTAAAATGCGAGCACCTTGTTCCAGCTGGACTGTTTTTGTCTCCTGTGCAATATACTTTCGGGTTGCAGCGAACATTTTGTCTTTTGTCTCACCAAGCTCCTTTTCCACAAGACGCTGCGCTTCCACTGCGCGGGTCTTAGCTGCTGCTTCGTGCTTAAGGTGCACCATAAGCTTTTCGACATGTCTTGAAAGAGCTGCAACTTTCTCACTCAATTGTTTGTTGATCTGTTCACTCTTTGTGCGTGAATCTTTTTCAAGACGTTCACGACTAGCCATCTCAACAACTTTTTCACGCATAAATTGCAGGTCGCGCAGTCCGATCTGAGATGTTTCCAGCTCACCCTCGAGTTGGTCCGTCCGCTGAAGTAGCCGCTTATTTCGGCTTCGTAGCATTCGCATTTCACGTTCCAAGCGTCCGAGACTGCCAAGGCCCAAGGCCTCCAGTACTGTGAACCTTTCGATGTTAGGCATGTGGCACGTTGATAGCTGTGTACTGCACCCAACGTCATTTGCGGTTCCAAACGGAGATATAGACGGTGAAAAACCTCCAGCAAGCTGCAATTCATGTCGAAATGCTTGCAAGCGCAGTCGAATTAGTTCGTCTAGCTTCACATGCTGGTAATGTGTATCGTTGGCACTTGTGTTTGGATTGCAAGAAGTGATGATAGGATCAAGTCCAATTCCACGAAGTAAAATGCATCGCGCGTTACCAACTTCCTCTCGTACGCGTACCAATTCAGATTTTGCTTCATTCAAAAGCTCTCCCAAGTAAAGATGTCTTTCGCCTTGTAGCACAAGCTGCTCTGACTTAGCAAAAATTTCTTTCTGGAGTCCTCGAATTCGCATTCCGTAATCGTCGCCATCAGAGTTAACTGTAGATACCCTTGCTAACTTATCCTCAAGCACTTTCCTGTGAGCATTGGCGTCATCTGGCTGATCTTGTTTTTCGAGCACTTGTTCAGCAAAGCGCAGCAAAGCGCCTTGCTTCGCTTGGCGATTATCCTCATCCAAGGAAGCTACTTTCAACGAATTTTCCAAACTTGCAACTTTCTCCTTTGAATGTTCAAGTTTGCTTAAATTTTTCGTCAGTTCGTGCTGTTTCGCTGAGAGAGAATTCTCGTGAAATATTTGGGCATCACTGTAAGCCTGCTGAAGCTGATCACACCGAGTTTGAAGGATATAGTACTCAGCAGTATGCTGAGCAAAGCGAAGATCACATTCATCAAGCTGCTTCAAAAAAAATGTTTGTTGTTCGTCAAGAGTGTCTAATGCACGAAGTCGTTCTAACTCTGCTAGACCACAACGTTCTTTTAGCTGTTCTATCTGACCGTTTAGCTTTGCCTGCTCGAGTAAGTATTGCTCTTCCATAAACGTTCTTTTTCTCTCAGCTTGTTTTGCCTCGTCCAAAGTTGCGAAACTATCTTGCCACCGAAGATATTCCTCAGTAAAAGCCTCGAATACCTCAGGAATTACCTCAACTGTTTGCTTTTGCTCCAACAACGTTAGTTTTTCTAAGTCCGCACTTGCTTGGCTCTGCATCTTATCAGTGAATCCTTGCTCACCAAGTTCATCGCTAGCTTTTGTCTCAACTAATTCTTCACTTGCCATCTTTACTATTATGAATAAAAGTCGTGAATGCAATTAACCAAAGAACACCTGATCAAAAATAGATACGAAAATTCTACCCAGCGCAATGAAACCTTCAGGCATATTTATTTTCACTCGCCTAAACTTGTTAATTGCAAATCAACATCTCGCCATGTTTCGCTGACGTTTATATCTTGATCAAACGCTTTTAAAGCTGCATTTAGTTCTTGGAGAATATCACGCACCTAAAAGAGTGGAAGAAAATATTTTTGCCACAAAATACGCATGACGTGAAACTTACATGTTTTAAATGAAGAATCAAGTCGCTTTTTTTGACTGCCAAGTGGTTGTCATTTGCAACAATTCTTTTCTTTAAAAGATCGCTAGCCTTGGCATACAATAGCTCTCGAAACTCCAGGTAGTTAATGCCAGTGTTTGCCTGCATGACCCGTTGGCATTGGTCAACAAATTCATAACCCACGAGGCCAATATTTTTCAATTCTTTGAGCTCGTTATCGACGGCAGCGTACTCGAGCTTAAGAAATGTCCATACTTCACGAATATTATATCCGTTGAACCAATTGTGATTGATTGAGATCGTGTCTTCAAGATTCTTGACCTGGTGATACCATCCACTCGGAACGAAAATAGCGTCGCCAGATTCCTGAATTGTGTACACTTGTTTTGCTTCATGAATTCGAGGATACCTCTCTTCGTTAATGTACTCCGCCGTAACGTCAGGCACTACATAGCCAAAGCAATCCTTCAATTTGGGTTCCTGCTTTGCATGATGTCAGATATCGAGCATACGACCAGGAAGCGCGAGTATCTAACGTACATCATCTGGGTGATAGAAAATCCATTCTTTGCGGCCGCAAATATTGACTGACCAGCTAAAAATGAAGAAGTGAGGGGGAATATATTGTAAATCAAGATCAATAAAGTCATACCTGTACGAACGAAAGACGTCTTGATGAAGCGGTGTCCAGCTTCCAGCGGGGCCTATGGAATATTGTGTACTCAATATTTTCTATAAAGTGCGCTTTACAATTCCATACCTACCAATATACACAAACCGATAATCGCTTTTGCTATTCTCTTTATGGTCCCACCACCTAGATTATCTTGTCAGTAAACGAGCAGTTTGATCTTTCGAGTTAAACTAATCTACCGACCAGTTCAACCAGTCATCCTTGAAAAATGGTGGCGTGCTACAATAAACCACGTCGATCGCGCAAGCATAAGCGATAGCGAGTTGAATAGCAGAAAATAACCTTCTTCACATACTCGTAGATATCACTGCCAAAAGCATGTACAAAATGCCAATCCTTCAGATACTTCTTACCCACCGTCCCATTCTCTATTTGATTCACATAATCAACTGCACCATTTTCGATAAGACAGTGCTTACTCTGAAATTGCTTTCGTCTGTCTATTACCAACTTTCATAGTCTGACGATCCTTCGCTCCGTATTCGGCAACTTCCCCGCTCGCTACCTTAAAGATATATATTAATCAAAGGACATAAAAACAATTTTTGGCAAATATTTACCGGGGCCAACGCAGTGCCATAATGTTCCTTAAAATGCGTATAATTAATACTATGCTCATTGTGCCATTTTCTTGTCCCAGGAAACCACGTCGGCGTTACATTTCGCAGCAGCACAGGTCGATTGCATGCCATATACCGCGTGCAAAAATTGTCGTAGCTCAACTTGGTTGCGTCCTCCACGTCCATAATTTCGAAAACTTACAAATAAAAATATAAAATCAGGTGTGATTCCTTAGTGCACCGTTCAAATATTATATCGAATTGCCGTGCATTGTCAGGAATGTTTTACGATTCGTAGATTATACCCAAAAATGCAAGAGTTTATATAATTTGTGTCACACATGCTGTTAGTATAGGTGGCAATTGTCATTAATTTCTTACGCATTTCGCTCACATAATATGGTCTGATACTTTTCACAATTATCCGGTACTTCGCGAAAGTCTTTTACTGAATAAGACATGAGCGATGAAGAAATTGAAAGTCAGTGAACGGTCACTCATTTCGCCTTCCACATCAAGCGCACCACCTTATCATCAGCGGATGCATAAAGATCAAAGTAGCATCTGTGTGTGACGCCACCCAAACTTAATTCTAACGAAAGTGGCATAAAGCCATTGTCTTGAAGTTTTCTTCAAAATGAAACGTCTTAAAACTAGGACTCACTTTATAATTTAGGTAATCAGTATTTCAGTGGTGGCATGAGTATGAAGTTAGGGAGCCAAACCTTGTCTCGCTAAAAATTGCATCGAATGTTGATATGTTCGGAGAGCAGGTGAAAGATTCTTGACTGAAAAAGGGACCCTTTTTGTCTCGTAGATCAAGTGAAGGTTCATCGCTGATAACTTTTTTGAGATCACACAAGAAGACCTCGAGCCACACTGACTTCTGACAGATACTCATTTGTATCGGCTTATTGGTCCCTCTTATTCTCAAAAAATTCCACAAAAGTACGTACACTATAACACGGTACGCCCCCTGTATTTTTTCGGACCAAATGTTACCAGCACTGAGGCTCACGGTTATTTTGTTTTTCAAAAGTCTGCGCCAAAGTGAATGCTGAGCAGCCATCCTACGATTAAGCTTTCACTCCGCCATGTGCACGTCAAAGTGCCTTATTCGCACCAAGTATTCTATCGCTTACGTTTCACCATAAGGCTCAACAATCCCGTGACCATAAGTTGTTGTTGTGGACGACGACCTAAAGCTAGTTTCGGTGGAGATGCCGAATTTGTGTTGTTAAGAATTGTCATAGTGACCAACCAAATCCCAATCCAACATTTCATCCTCGTAGAAAAACGTAGACAGAACTTTCAATTAAGATACTCTTCACCCCTCCTATGAATGTATCACGCATTCCATGCTCGTTTTCTATAGCGAAAAGTTCTGAGGGACCTCGCCGCGAAGCAGAACCTGGATCAGACCTAATTTTGCTTGTTTAAGAATCGCAACGACTTCATTAACTCAATAATGTCGTGGTTATTGATTTATCATTGTCGACTCGTTGCGTCAGAGCGGGACCCAACCCCTTAATGCGTTCGGATTCTCTGCTCGATGTATGAGAAAAATGAGCGCTCGGAAATCGCGACGCGAACACTCAGTGATTCTTCAATTGCCCCTTTCCCTAAAGTGCCACCTGCTTTGAAATTGGTAGCGGTCGAATAAACTCATCTCCTCGCATTTTAGGGGCTCACTGCTGTCATGGAAGAACCGTAATCAATTCGTGTATGGGGTGAAAAGGACACGTCACTTCGATTGTTTTCAAGTTTGCAAGACAGCTTCAGTTAAGCAGACGTCCGACTGGAGACTTCATTAATGCCGCACATTTTACATCACAAATAAGGCGTCGAGAAGGTATTTCATCACATCAAGTTCCTGCTCGGCAGTGCTGCTTCTCTCCATAAATCCTCTTCTTTAGCAACCGGCCAAGTCGCTAGATCGAAGCGCCTTCATCACCGACTCGCTATCACGATGCATGTTGCGCTCGCAATGCTGTTTTACACTCCTAAATGATGATGATTGTGGAAGCGCTGAGTCATAAGCGTCAATTCCGCTAGTGTAGTTTTGCTAAAGTGAGGCTTTTAACTACCATGCATACACGAAGAAAAATTTTGCCTTCCACCTCACCAGATATTAGCAACATCCATGGTAGTTTGCTGGACAACTCGTCTTGAATGGAAATAGGTCACCTTTCTATGAGCCACGTTTTGGTGATGCTTTCCATGGTAGGCCATTATTTGGAGCGATCTAAGGAACCCCTGCGACTTAAACAGATTGTTGCGACAGAGTCGAAGGTAATTCAGCCACAAGGATGGTTAAGACGTTGCACAGCGCTGTACTTTAACAAGTCGCTATGAAAGGGCGCTACGAATGTGCAGCTAAACGCTTCGATAAACGTGCAGCTAAACGGTTCGATAAACAACATTCGAATTCAAGAAATTGTTGCCTACCGAAGCTTTTACACTTTTGTCGCATCCGACCCGTAGGCTGACCTATCGCCTCATAGATTCGCGATTCCATCATCATGACATGTGACAAGTTATGGTTGAACTGACGAAGAAGCGTTCCACTGCCAGTACTTTTCATATTAATATTTGACAATCGGGAAAACCATGTCGCAACTTCCCGACTGATGCGATGACGACGTTGCTACGCGGAACGACACATGAAATATTAAGAGCCAGATTGGCGCCACCGTACTTGACAAAAGCGGGCAAAACCACAAAAACAAAACCGTTTATCTCTGTTGTTGAAAGCTTACGTGATTCGATTGCGATCACATTTTAATGCTCGTCGGATTATACTTGGAGGGAAGCACATCCTTTAGCACAGACTGAAACATCAAAGACGACATGATCGATTGATCCAGATCCAGAAGAGTCTATATCGGGGCACACATCAGAATTTTCTTCGAAGATTTATGGCTGCGTTTTCTACCACACCCCAGCCCAAATTGAAAAGAGATCGATGAAAAGCCGCCACATGTCAACACAATGCGATATATTTATTAAAGTCGTTGTTTCGGCCAAGCAGCTTTCTTATTTGCAATTGAAACTGGTCAATCTTCAATGGTCTTGTTCTTCGCGGAATTAACGCGTAGGCCACGCTTCTCATTATGTCGACATAGATGTAACGGAAATCGCCCGTTTGTATACACGCTCTTAGTTTAACCAGTCAACAAGTGTCACAGAGTGTTGCTCACTTCCAGCGAGCCGTTGATTTACGTGAACAAGGAGAAAAAGATAAAGTTACATTGATTTTGGCCAATAGTCCTCAAACCTTCCCAAAATTAATAAATGCCACCAATATTGTTATAAATAGAATTGGTGGATATACGACTATGCGGGATGTTAACCACACACAGGAGGATGCGGTTCACACAACATGTGTAATGGAACTGGCGCTATTATACCCCCCACTCAATCGTGTGTTTACTTCAAACTTTTCTGACTCTGAGACTCGGTTATTCCAGATACCACACGAAATGAAACACATCGAAGACGACTTGCGCCGATGACGAGCGCAGAGCAGAACCGCACCTCAATTCAAGGATGCGAGGCGCCTTCGCCACCATCGAACTTGGATAATGCTCTAATTTCACGTCGAACAGGTCTTTCGTACGTTAAGGCAGAACCCGGCGTTGAACGACCAACGGCGCACGACGATTGATATCAAGAATCCACTGACGAGTTCAGTGGTCTAGTGTATTTGCGTTACCGTGCGATTTATCGTCGTCACGAAATTCACGACTGACGCGGTGCTATTACCTTCCTGTTTGACGAACTCTAGTCGAATAAAAGCTCGAGTGGTGACTAGAACCGCGTGTTTTCGCGCCGTAAGTCCAGTTACACGTGTTGGAGGAGAACCACGAAGCCTCATGTATGTACCGTTTGTCAAGCCCAGACTATCAAAATTCGATCTGAGTATGGTTTCGTGCAACCTAATCGGTGGACGTCTACCGTTTGCATATTGCAAATACCGCCGCAGACTTGTTGACGATATGCGATATGCGCTTTCCGTTTGCCAAATTAACAGCGCAAGAGCGGGTTCACTCCGATATCAAAGATGCTCGAGAAGTACGCACGGTCATTAGTCGAATTCACGACGAGAGGGAGAAAGTGTGAAGAGGAAGGGACGAATCCTGAAACGGGGTTACACGAACCCTAATAACAGGGGCGTGTGCGTGTCACACGAGATGGACATAATGTGACCACACACCCAAACAAGAATACGGGAAGGGGCTAGGTCGCCAGTAGTTATGGATGTATTTAGATTTTACCATACACCCAAACAAGAATACGGGAATGGGCTAGGTCGCCAGTAGTTATGAATGTATTTAGATTTTACTATATATTTAGTGTACTTAGGACGATCTAATTTTAACATTAGAATAAAAATATAAGTAAAAATTAGTTTTGATTTTGAACAGAAGTGTTCGTTTGCCTTGGTAAGACTTTTAAGTACTTTTAGAGGCACGGATTGCGATCCGCTGCACTAGTACTTGGTTCTTGTATAGAACGAAAGGTCGGTGACCTAAA